TGTAATGCTTAATTTGATCTTAAAGCATGAATCAAGAAAAATTATTGAGGAAAGGTTGACAGGGGGAATCATTATTTTGTTTTTTTGATTCTTTCTAAAAAAGGGTCTTATCTCTGCGTATGTGTGTGTGTGTGTGTGTGTGTGTGTAAATTGATAACTAAATTCAGCAAAGTATCAGCCTACAAAATCAACGTACACAAATCAGTAGCATTCCTATACACCAGCAACAGTCAAGCTGAGAATCAAATCAAAGACTCAATACTTTTCACAGTAGCTGCAAAGAAAATAAAATACCTAGGAATATATTTAATCAAGGAAAAATCAACATTGTTGAAATGTCCATCCTACCTAAAGTGATTTACAGATTCAGTGCAATCCCTATCAAAACACCAACATCATTTTTTGCAGATCTAGAAAAAATAATTCTATGCTTCATTTGGAACCAGAAAAGAGGCTGAATAGCCAAAGCAACCTTAAGCAAAAGGAACAAATCTGGAAGCGTCACTTTATCAGACTTTAAGATTTGCATTTGTATTATGTTAGAGATTCTTCATTTAGGTCCTCCACCTCCCAGGAACATTGCCCTTTCCACCAAGTGCTTTTGCATTGCCATCTCTTGTTCTTCCTGCCAGAAACGATGTATTGTACGTACATATTTGCCGCTGCCCTTGTTCCAGTCCTTCCCATAAGGATGCTTATATGGGAGTAGCCATGGACACTGCAATGGAGTGCTGCCCAGTACAGCTGTAGGGACTGTGTGGACAAGCATACTGTGCCCACCTGTGCCAGATCACACAGACTCTCATGCCTTTTGTTCACCTGCTGATTAAAAAGATAATGTGTGATATGGGAATCTCACATTCATCTAGTCTCCTTCCCCCAAATTGTAGTGATTGATAGGACGGGAAATATAGATCATTGGAAACCTGCTTCAGAGTCCTTGGCTGGACAGTGTGGGACGTAGGGTAATGCATAGCTGGGTAGAGGGAGGTGAAAAAACTATTCCCAGGTGATTAGTGCATCTCCAAGAAATTAATAAACTTTTGCTGGGTGAATGTTTCTTCTCTGGCTGATTATACACTCAGTGGATCCTGCTCCTCTCAAAAGCCCTTTTATTGTTAGCAATCTGATTAGGAGCTGAAAATGATGTCTTGTGTGCTTGTTAAGTTCACTCCAGCATGTATCCAGTGCCTATTAGCCGAAAGGTACTTTTAGAGATGCAAAATTGAATAATAGGGTATAGATATACAAGTATCTATCCTAGATGGCAGTATGGGTAAGTGCTATACTATAAGTACAATGGGAGAGAGACAATGGTTACACTTGGTGAAAGTTGGGAAGAATAAAATGGGTTCCCGGAGGCTTGCCAGAGTTCAATTTACAAAGCCTTGGAGAAAGGACTGTACAGTGTCATCCAGGGAGAGGGGCAATGCCAGGCAGCATGGAAAGGGCATAGATTTGAGTTTTTCAGCAAATGAGAGTTCATTGAAAGTGGAGTGTACAGAGCATTATAACAGAAAGTCATGGTAAATAGGACTGGAAAGGCAAGCTCCTGCTGCTTTAGGGAGAGCTTCAATGCTAGACAAAGCAGTTATATTTTAGTTAAGGGACAGCATAGCCAAGTACTTCAATATTTTATCCCATTAAATTTTTACCTGCTTGAGATTGTAGATGGGCTTTATTCATCTTTTTATCTCTGCCCTGCACATTAGAAATTCATTCTACTTCTATCTAGAGGGTAGAAGTAGCCTGGTGATGTTTGGAGTTACAAGAGCAACTGTGAGTAAGATGACTAAGGATGGAGAAATGAACCAAAGGAGGATGACCCAGCCAATAGCTACTGCAATAATCTTAGCAATGATCAGGAGAGCCTGTTCTAGAACCATGGGCATGACAAACGGATTTTGTGGATGGTGAATAATCAGTGATATAAGCAATTGGATGAGAGGGATGAGGGATAAGCAAGGGGAAGAGTCAAAAATGATTAGTAGGTTTAGGGCCGGAGAGGATAGAAGCATTGATATTTATGGTGTTTAAAAATTGATGATTTTAACTGATCATCAGAATTCTTAGAGGAAGAATTGTCTCTATTCAGAACATTTTTATATAGGAAGGTGAATCCTTAAGGCTTGATGATAAAATAGTTAATACAGAGAACTTTATTTTGCACAGAAAGTTAAGAATTAAGGCACCGAAGTGAAGAAGGAGGCAATTAGAGAATAAACAAGGGTCTGATAAGGAAGCGGGAGACTGTAACCTGAGGAGAAAGATGGCCG